ATAAAACATATATGCAAAAGATGATCTAGACTTTTGCAGTAATTCTCATAAAACATAAAGCATAGGCAGCAAACTGAAATTTGAAGTACCATAGTTACTGAGTTCTTGTCAAATGATTTATGATTGCCCAACTCTAGTGTACATAAAATGGCTGTGTGTGTAATGCTCTCTACCGTAAACTTAATACATTTGATACTCAAACACTTTGTGATAGTGTTTTCAAACTGCATACATATCATTATGTCATTACATAATTTAAAGCTTCAAAGTTAGACTTAAGTTACCTCCTGCAGTGCCAGTCACAGTGCTGTCACACTGCAGAAGCCCGTTGGTTTCTCTTCAGTCATGAGCAAGTTTTACCTTTAAACTTTAATTCAGATTTGATGTTGATAATTTCTTACACTTCTTTTAAACATCCACCTTTACACATATTTTGTTTACCAGTTAACTCAATTGCACAAAAGACAAATAAACTCATGGACACACATCTACCTACTACTACATACTGCATACTCCTTTTCAAGAAATTAAATTCCGATAACAGCTTCTCATTTTATGTTGTCACCTTGAGAGTTTCTGTAGATTTGATGGCATGCAGCTTGTTGATTAAAACTGTACAAATGGTGAATGCTAATGTTCAGAGATGTTATTCAGTTTCAATCAGGAGGGAGGTGCAGTCGGTCACAATCTCACTTACCCCCTCTATTTTCTGCATACCTAAAGATTTTCACCTTAACTAACAATATATGATTTGTATCTATTTATGCTTCTTATTTGAATCAGGTCAGAACTATCCTATCTGTCCGTTAAAGTTGTTGCTGCTCTTCGTCCCATTCCCTAAGGTCACTATTGGGTGAAAACCTTGGATCTTCAGCATATGATTTGTCAGTTACAGGAAAGGTAGCACTGTTTTTTATCTTGATTGCCATTTTGTTCGATTGTATCCAAGAAGTCTCAAAATTGCACTTGGTTTCATGAGGCAAAAAGCCTATTGCTTCAGTTATTATGTGCACCGTATCACACACTCCCTTGTTCCTTTTATGAGCTTTAAGTAGATGTTTAGTAATCATGTTGTGGGAGTGGGAAGACTAAAAGAAATATTTGGTTTATGTAAATGAATACCTCACTTTTTGCATTGTTTTAACAGCTCTAAACACCATATTTGGATCCAGAGAGAGCTTAGTGGCCCAAGCCAGAGGTCTCCTAACAATTAACGTACTTAACTTGAGAAATAATCTCGAGAAAGCCTGAGAAATATTAAGAAACTTTGTTTTTAATTTTAGTGAACAATATAGTGTATATCCCAATGTATGCCTTCTCTTGGAAAAGTTATAAGTTCACTATGTTGTCTTCTGGAAGCTGAACATTAGTTTTAAAAGCTGCCTAAGTAGCTTAAGTGAGCTCATTTTTGTGGTCCTTTTCATTTAAATCCTTTAATTAAATAGTCTCATTGAGATCAAGATTTCTTTTTCAAGAGAGACCTGTGTACAAAAAATAATATACACAATCTGATCATAGGCAGACACAGATAATTACATACATTACACATTTTCTCATTCAAGAAAAGTATATGAAAATGTGATTGTAAATACATACTTTCAAGGCTTTGTGAATGCAATGCAGTATAGTGGAAACCGTTCACGTCTGGTCAAATTGATTACTATTGGTGGATGTTTTCTATAATCAAGTTTTTCCCTTTTTCTTTATTTCACACGCAGATTACTGTCTAATTGACATTTGTGTCTTTATTACATAAACATAAAGTAATGAAACAGACAGGTTTGCTATTTACTGGTTAAAGATAAAATAAAAAACTGTGCCATGTCCTTCTTCTGCTCCAAGCCTAGTTTGAATGGTCGGGGTGAAAACATTACACTCCACTCACGTAACATACCTGCTGCTGTGAGAGAGCAGGGACGATAATTACGCACTGTAAAAGTCCCAAAAAGCGAACAGAGTAGGAATGAGAGGGCAAATAACTGACTGAGCGACAGTGGCGAAGCTATCACATGGTGTGAGAGTATACACACACACACACACACACACACACACACACACACACACACACACACACACACACACACACACACACACTCACAAACACACAAACACACATTTTGAACTTATTTTGGGAGAGCAGGCAGGGATGGTCACTACTGGTGGTACAATGGCAGTCCAAAAACTAAGCATATCAGCTTCCACTAATAGGCTAACAGTTCCATGATCCATATAAACTGTTGATGCCTGAAACCATGTTCATTATAAGCAGTTTGCCACCTTTTAAATTGTTCTAATGAAATAAGGGAATGTAACTTCATATGTTGAATAAGGTTCATAAGGTTGAAATGTCTTGGGACCTGACATTGCGTATTTAGATATAATCAGAGGAGAAGTAACTAGGCACTTTTTGCAGTAGACTCTTATAAATAAACAACATACAATGCTGCTCTCGTCTGTTTGTTAAGGAGGACCATTCTATGTTTTTGTTTAAGATGACCTGTGATGAAGCACAGCATACTAAGCTACGTGGAGATAAGAGGCTTTAAGGTGGAGGGAGAAGCATTTTTATATACAGTATTACCATAAACAAGGGCAAACAAAATTGTAGATGTCTGCAATATTCTTTTGCTTATCAGAAAAGAAACATGTTTTGTTTCTATACAAAAATCCAATTTTTACCCTCTGTTTGACTGATAGTGTTCCACATGGGTCTTAAAACTAAGTCTGGTATCCAGCTAGAGTCCTAAGTATTTGTAACATTCAACAGTTTCAGTTTCATACCCATGAAGGATTTGTGGAGTAGGCTGGATATTGTTAGGTGACCTAGAGAATACTTTTTACCAGAATTTAAAACAAGCTTATAGTTTGATGAGAGAGATCTGAAATGTATCAAGCACACTGTCGATTTGCAATAGCCAGATTAAGAGAAGAGGCAGTAGCATATAAAATGGTGTCATCTGCATAGAAATGTACATTACAGTTTGGGATGGCAGATATAATATGTACAGTATATGGTGAATAAAAGAATGCACCCTTGTTGAACACCCACGTTAACGCTAAGGGGACTTGACTGTTCATCAATACCAAGTGAGCATAGTTTTTCCAGTAGAATAAATAAATAAAAAATCAAATGCTCTAGATAGGTCTATTAATAGTGCACCATGTTGTCAATTGTCCACGGCTTCAATAATATTGTTAAGTGCACATAATGCTTCTGTTGTTTTGCTATGACATGATGTAATATTTTTTTAATATCTGATATTTTGACCAGCACTAACATAGGCTATAATTACTTTATTTGTTTGATTCTTTTTGTAGACACACACGGCATTGCCTTTTTCAAAAGATGGCTCCTTCACTGGATGGAAAGAAATGTGCCCTTCTTAGGCGAAACTAAATCAAAATCCAAAATCAACTTTCACATAAAGAGTGGCAGAAAAATTCGATCTGTCTGTAGCAATGATGGAGCAGCGTGAACTTCCTTAACCTAATTTGAAGAGGGCTGCAACTCACAAATGTCACTTGCTTTACACAAGTATAACTTCCATAAGAAAGTAATTCTGTCCCCTGGACAAAAACCCCTTACTTGATTTTTTTTTTGCCATTTTTCTTTCTTCTCTCAGGAGATCAATACCACTCTATCAAGGCCTTTAACATGTATTTTGTTCCTAGTAGCTTTATTGTATATTTGCATTGAGAATTATATGCCAATAATATACCTATATTTTTGAAAATATTTCTCTGTCTGGTATTGCTATACAAAATTCAGAGACTTATTTGGTAAGTAGATGGTTTTGATTTACATTTAAATTTAATTTTTTTTAGGCAGATTGGTCTAATTACATAATTTTGAGAGTCTTGTGTAGTCTTGTCACCTGTCTGTATTTATAGACTGGTAACAAATTAAAACAAAAACCTTAAAAATGAGTAGAAGGACACGTTGACAGTGTCTCCATCCTTAGGGCATGAGAGGTCACCGAGTGGTTTGATGAGTATGAACACCATGTGAATCATATGCTATGGCCTTCACAGTCACCAGATCTCAACCCAATATAACACCTATGTGAGACTTTGTTAGACAGTGCTCTCTCCCCCATCATCAAAATGCCAAATGAGGGAATATCTTTTGGAAGAATGGGGTTCATCCCTCCAGTACAGTTCCAGAGACTTGTAGAATCAATTCCAAGGAGCACTGAAGCTGTTGGCACTAGTTGCACATGGTGGCCCAGCACATTACTAAGACACTTTATGTTGGTTTTTCCTTTTATTTGCCATCTTTTTGTGTATGAGATATATATATATATGTTATATTTATAAATTTTAGACTTATTTATACTATTTATACACAATGAATTTGATATAAATCTGCAAGTGTCAACTTTAACTGGGCAGGTGACTAAACTGCAAGGGTTCAAAAGTAATTGGACACTTGGCTACTTAATGTTTCTTGGGCAAATTTGTTGTTTTAATATTAGTTCATGCATAAAAGCTCAGATGAGGCTCAGAGTTCATTTAGAGTGCACAGTTGCCATTTAAATTGAGGCAGAGTTGTCTCTCAGTGTAAGGAGGTGACCATGATAATATAATGAGGCTCAATTATTAAAAAAAAAAAAAAAAAACTAAACAAAAACAAACATCAAACAGACAGATATCAAAGGTTGTTGAGAACATTCTAAAAAGACATCCCTCTTGTGGATATGCAAAAACAAGTATGTATGTATGTATGTAAAGAAATATTTGCAGTGTATATATAAAACCTGCATCCGTCTGAATATGCTCTCTGTTTGATTTTTCCCTCTTTCTACAATAGTTTAGTGCAGTCTTCGACATGAGACATGCTGTGTTTACTACTGCTCTCTTCCTCCTCAGTACAAAGTGTTGAATTCTACATGTGTTTTTCTGCCTTAAAGGTTGCCACAGTGGTTGATGAGTATGAAAGTGTTGTTGTCAGTTGTCAGTCTTACACTATTGTGATATTGATTTAATGTTTGTTATTTCAGTTGGGTGCAGAGTTTCGGGCATGAGGGTCTTGGACTGCTGCTGGACATTTTGGAGAGGTTGCTATTCAAGAAGCAGTAAGTTTATGCATTCATTTGTGTGTATTCTTGTTCAGACTCTTACTATCTCACTGCAATTACTTATTATTCACGGGATCAATATTAACTAATAATGACTAAACAAACAAACACATATCGTTGTAAGTTTTCCTTGTTGAGTCATTTTATCAAAGTAATTCAACAATTTTACACATTTGCTAATAACAAAAAAATATATTCATATTTGGCAGTGGTACAGTTAATAGAAGACCTTGAGTTTTCTATCATCATCACAGTCTTTCATTTTTTTTCTCTGAGTGGCTTCTACACACTTTCTTTCAGAGTCCTTAATCAGTATATAAAAATGTAGGCTTGTTTCCAAACAGTATGTATACAATTTGTGGTCTTAATGCTGTACATAAGGGACTAACTGCTCCTCATTACTGTCTTGTGTCCTTAGGCAAGAGAAGATTGACAAAAGGAACCAACATAAAGTTGTCCAGTGTCTCAAAGCCTTCATGAACAATAAGGTAATGACAATGCATGTCTTTGTGAGTAAACCCAACTGATTGATTAATTGTACTGATTATTTTCTTTGCACATGCATCTGCGGGCATAACAGCCCACATAAACTTTAATCAGGAGCGCTTCCGTTTTTATCAACCTTTGTTGAATGACTGAAGGTGGGTTTACTACTACTAGGAGTCCTCAAAGTTAGATTTTCTAATCCTACTTTAATGTTATGGAAATGCATCCCAGGATGAATATGTCAGTTTGTCCTTTTACTCTTTGGGGGGAAAAAAAATCTATCTTAAACAACTTCCTGTATTTTGATTCTGATCTGTATCAAATTAGGCCTCTTTCAATGACAAAAACTTGTGACCAATTGAGGAGAAGAGTAGCATCACAACAATATGGAGTGAATTGAGGGGAGCTTTGCTGAAGTGCAAATGGAATCTGAATGACACTGTGTGACACATTTGCACAGATCTAAGATTCTTGGCCTGCAAAATGCCCTCACTCTGGAGTTAGTCCTTTCTGATATATGGAACTGTAAGAGAGAGTGTGTGAATAAGAGAGTATAAGTGAGGGGAAGAGATGCCACTGCTAAGGTTAGCACAAGAGAAGCAAAACTTTATTTGCTAATTATATCAATGTTGTGATGCACTAGGGGAGAAATTAATAACCATGAATCACAAACAGTGTGTCTCTGTGTTTTTTGTTTATCTTTATCTCAAGCAAAGCTGTTATTTTTTTTAAATCTGCTATTGGTCTATTAGCCTCATCTTTTTGGTTATTCAGATGCAGTGGAAATGCAACAGTATTGTACATAATGGAAGTTTAGTCACAGTTTTAGTTCCTGAACTTAGTTCCAGGGACTCTTTAGTCCTTCAAAGTATCTGGTCAAAACAAGCCAAAGCACAGTTTGGGTGATAGACATAGAGGGACATGGACAGCTGTTTAACACAAATTAAGTGTTGCAGATAACAAATCAATTATGGAAGCAAAAGAAACAAAATGGCATTTTGAAAAGATATGAAGACATAAACTGTTGAGTTAGGCAATAAATCTAAAATTTAATGAAACTGATGTTATGCATCTGTCACTGACCCAATTTAAGACCATTATGTCTGGTAAATGATTTTTCTTCAGACAAGCTGTCAGCTGGCCTTTCCCTTTTAATGTACCTGAAAGAATGTTAATCACTGTTAGTTTTGATTTTCCGAATGCTTTCATAACTCATTTTGTTATTCTTTCATTCATGTATTTGTACAGTTTCTTTAATTTAAACAAAATTATTAAGTAAAACTATATAAAAATATGATCATATTTTGATAAAATTATCCCACCTAAAGTCTATAGACAATAATATTGAATTGTCGCCCAGGCTGAAGCACTTGGGCATAAAACTGTGCTGTGTTGAAGTAGCTTTATTTCACAATGCCTCAGATTTTCCTGCTTTTGTGCTGTTAGTCCAAAGTAGCTACGAAGGAAAAAAAAAATATCTCGCCACATGGAGCTAAAACCCAGTGGAGACAGATATACAGCCGCTCTGGCACATAGTGTGGTGTAAGGTCTCATGTAATCCTGTGTCTCAACAGGCGCCAGACACCAGCATTTACCCGTAGGCTTCTCTGTTAGCCCAGACCTTTCCCTGGCTAGAGAGGCATCTTGGGAAGGGATGTACCCACAATGCCAAGAAGACAGGTGTTCTCTGCCAGCTGTCAGTGCAGCCTTTTCTTCTTCTGCCTTCCCATCAAGTCACACACTTGCATATTTTCTATTGTCTGTCACCAGTGGCACAATAATGTAATTCTTTGCTAAGGTGTATAGTTAATATAAATGCGTGTAGTATCTAGCTCTGAGCTGTTTATTTTCCATGTCTTAGTACTCACTGACCTAAGCTTTGGTCATGTATATACTATACTGTATATGTAAACAAGGGTATTAAGAAGTTAGAAGATCTCCTAGGTTTTCATAAGTATAGAGACAAGAGGTTGTTAAAGAAGAAATAGCGTGTACATGAGACATACACTAGACAAACACTCTATCACAAATCTGAACACCACATTACTTGGTTAGCTGACTGCCTCTAAGATTCAAGTGTTCTTTAATGCTGGGTGTTACTACCAAGTCTACAAAAGAACTTTTCAAATCAAACAGGCAAAACTGAGAAAAAAAATCACTTATTGATGTTTTCTTTGGTAAAACAAACGCTCTTTTCAGTGCTTTATTTTTAATATATTATTTGTAGTGAACATTTTATTTTTTGACAAAATCAGACATTACTGAATTGATTTTCTCTGCACAAATTAAAACAATAATTACATTTGTGAACGTTGCTGACACTGTTTGTCATTGTACACATGCTAGTACTGTACTGACAATTACGGCTACAACGTAATTGTCAGTACAGCATATTGATAAATTGATATTGTTGTTTATAATTATGGCATTCTTGCAAGATAGTTTTTTTTTCTCTTTATTGGCTTTTGTGTACAGCACATGGCAAACCTCATACAGTACAATAATTCTAAATCTTTTCAATAATGATCTTGCAATTTAGTCTGATTTTCTGGTGTTCAAGTTCATTTGTACAATAGGTTGTGCAGAGCCAGAACTCTGAATGGGATTGCATATATTGCATTACAGATGAGACTAAAATCACTGTAAACCTCAAGTCTGACATACGATCATTCAGACTTGATTTGAAGTGTAGGTAAATGTATTGAGCTTGAATTCATCTTGTGTTCTTAAAGCAATAAGACTTGGTTTTAATGTGTCACATGACATTATATTCTTGTTGCAAATGAGCAGAATTACAGCGTATCTAGATAATCATGTTTTGTGTTTGTTTATTGCAGTATGGCTTGGATCGAATCCTGGGGGAAGAGAAAAGTCTTGCTTTACTGGCAAGAGCCATTGATCCCACCCAGTCTGCCATGATGACTGATGTGGTAAAGCTGCTGTCAGCCATCTGCATTGTGGGCGAAGAGAACACGTATGATCTGACTCCATTCCTTCTGTCAACTAATTTTTTGATTTCCCAAAAATGAAATTGTACTGTTGTTTAAGTTTTACTTAAAATTATGGTCCAGCTGATAAATACTATTTCTTATTTATTATCAATTGAAAGCAGTGAGCTTACAGTGGTGCATTGTAACGCATGTTAAAACACTTCTCAAAAGGCTGAAATGCCACAATTTCATAGTGTGGAGTAATGGAAAGATAGGCTTGTAATACATTCCTTTGAGTGTCAGTGTCACAAGTTGCACTGAGTATAATATGTCTTGTCTTGGTTTTGTAAAAATACAGGAAAATTGATTCTAAGTGACTCAAACCGTGAATTAGATATTCTAATAATTACATTTGGTAACATGGTATGCATTTCTCCAATGTAAGAAAACAACAGAGGTTCCATTTATTATGGGGAATTATTTCAGTGGAACAATATTTTCAGTGGAGGACTCTGTATTTGAAATATCAAAATAATATTGATCGCATTATTGAAATGAGTTAATGAATGAACCTGTGATGGGTCAAGAAAATTGACAAGAAAAGGAACCCCGGATACTGTATAATACTGTAGAGAGAGCTTATGGTCAAAATCCCTTTAAATTAATGTATTTTTTCTTTTTTTCCCAATTGTTCGCTCATGCATTTCCTGTTCTCATTTAGTTTGGAGAAGGTCCTTGAAGCCATCACCACAGCAGGCGAATGGCGAGCCATTGAGAGGTTCAGTTCCATTGTGCAAGGACTACGTGATCGCTCAGTTCAATTACAAGTAAGTGCAAAGTGCAGCCCCTGACACCTTGTTGTTTCACTCAGATTTTCTCTGAAATGAAATATTGAATGACAGTGGGAAGTTGACTATTTCAACGTATCACACTCCAGGGTCTCTTAGTCACTTAGACATTCTTTTCTCTAACAAATCCTTTTTGTCTTGTCTAGTCTTTTTTGTTATACTCTTGTTATCAGTGAAATCTGGGTAAGTGTTGTGTATCACAGATCCAGTCACAATGGCAACATGGAATTTTGAAGCTTGCATGTAAAGGAATAAATTTTGCTTCTCTTTTTTGTATTTTTAATCCATGCCTAGTGTTCATCAACTGTTGTTGGAGCAAAGTTATTTATATATTCATGCTGGTTAAGTATTCTACTTTAGATGCATTTTGGTGATCAAACAAGCAACTGTGATGTAATGAGGCAGTCTAGAGCCTGTTAATCAGATTTTACCAATTGCTGTAATGAACATAATCATTCTGTAGTGGTGTTAGTTGCTCAGTTAAGATGAAGATCTTCCATGATTTGTTGTTGCCATATGTAATGACCTTTTTCTGATAATACTGTTAGCATTTAAGTTACAGGAAAGTGTAATAATAAGCTACTAATAACTACTGTAGAACCAGGAATTATTTCATTGTACAATAAAAACACAATAACCCCTAGTAGAATAAAAAAGCTATAATAAGGGACCCCACTAAAACAAACAAACATACAGTTTATATTAAAAAAACAAAACAAAATGATAAAACATATATTTCTCTTACCTATATACAGAGAAGCTGTCCATGCATACAAATTTTTACCTGCCACATTGCCCATTTCATTATCTTATGCACTTCCTTTACACATTACCCCTCTCTCTGTGGACATGATCTTCTAGATGTATCATCTCCCTGCTGATACATACACCTGAGATGCATATAGGCTGTTTTAAACAGAGACAGCTTTGGTTTGTGTCACAATATTGTAATTCATGATTAAGGCATGTTGTTTGCATTTTTAATTGGTTGCTGAGGGATAAGAGTAGAGTATTCATTCACCCAGTACCTAACACAGACACAGTCTTGTTCCACTATCCATGTGGAGACATTCATTGACATAATGCATTCCCTTTACCCTTACCCTCACCTTAATCTAATTGTAACCTGAACTGTAAAACCCTCAAATAGCAATTTTTCCCATGGGTTAATGTGCATTCAGGTTAAAGTCCCCACTGCGATATAAGGACAAGTACACACACACACAGTGCATGGTGAGAATAAAACTGTAGTATGTACAACAATTTGCGTCTTAGGTTGCTTCATATTCCCGTGCAATGACCAATGCTGAACTTAATTAAGAGATGATATCTTTTTTACCCCAAGTAGTATTATCAATATCATTTGCATTCAGTTTGCTGTAACTACCTTTGTGAAAAACTACCGAGGAGCGGTAAGGAAGCAATAGCAGGAGAAAATAGTGAGGGAAGCGGAGAGTTTTACATGGAATTTGCTTCATATAGATGCGTCTAATATACAAAACTCATCTGTGGATATATAAACCGAGTGTTGTGTACTGGAAGGATTATATGGCCTTAGTAGTGTTTTATTGATGCTTTGTTATCCTTCCTACTTCCTAATACACAGAACAGATCCCTTTTAACCCCATGCATTATTAAAGCACAGATATTGTTATCCTAACCACGGCAATGTGTGGCCAAAGGCTTTCTGTCCTACTTGACTACATTTATACACAGTGTCCCCTGGCAGCCTTTAGCTTAGGGAAAGTGTGAATAGACAGATTTGGCACCACCAGAATCAAAGATTCTTAGCGTATTTGTAATTGACTTAGGAATTATTGGCATTATTCAGAATACAAAGCTGAGGCTAATGTAGATGGTCAAATATACATATACAGTATAAACATATAAAATTTTTGGTAAGTTGGAATCAAATTAAAGACTTCAAATACTAACATTGCATCTATATTGTGATATTTTATTCATGAGGGAGTTATGGAAAGAATTGTAGTGATCTTTCTTGCTGAACCATTTGTCTTTTCTTATTGAAAATATTTCCAACAGTCTGCATATTGATTTTAATAATATGCAGTATACACTGGTTTCATTTTAAAGAATGAATTTGTACTGTATATAATAAAACCTATACTAAAACCAAAGGATATGTGTGAGGGTAGGAAATCATTTAAATAATTGTAAAGAACTTTTAACATAACAATGGTATTGGTTTCTTGACTGCCCCTGCACCCAAGTCAGATGTCAAGACACTTTGTAATGTTACCTACCTGTATTACAATATTAGAATGGTACTGTCAAGACAGGTAATTACTAAGCTTGAGTGCCACGACAAAAATAAGAGTGTGCTATCAAACTGACAATGCACCTTAAAACATCTGAATATCCTTCCTAAGCTCTAGCATTGCCATACCCTCTTTTCACGCATGAGTGGATTGCTTTACTGATCAATAATTGATTTTTCTGTCTGTGTTTGCCCGGGCAGTTGAAGAGTCACAGGATTCAACGGTCCCTGTGCAGTAAACCAAACTCAGACGGGAGTGAAAAACAGCTTCCAAAAGAACGAGTTTGCCCTTAAATTGACTGTTAGTTAGTTTTGTGTGTATGGGTCTGCAGTTGTTGCATTAATATTAAAATCAGCCCCCCCAGTTGGTGACTGGAGAAAATAGACATGCATTAGTTATGGTCCTCTGCTTCCAAGGGACATAACCTATTTAGAATGCATGCCGGCATGCTTTTCATCAACTTCTGGAAGAAGAAGTCCATCGTTTCTTTCTCCGTTCTCTCTCTCAACTCTCACTCCTCTCCCTTTCCTTTTTTCTCTCCCTTTTGTTATGTTCACCCTTCATGTTGCAGGTGGCATGCATGCAGCTCATCAATGCTCTGGTAACATCTCCTGATGAGCTGGACTTCAGGCTGCACATCAGAAATGAATTTATGCGCTGTGGCCTGAAAGAGATATTGCCGGTAAGCACAACAAAACCACACACTCGCCCACACATAGACAGATAATATAAACTCACACTCACCTTGTATTAATATTTAAATGAGTTGTCCACTTCAGTGAAATATTGTAGATTTGCTCCAGCAAATTATTTATGAAAGACAGACGAGAGTTTGCACGTTCTCTCTCTGTGCCAGCACCCAGAAACCAATAAAGTTTCTAGTGCCTGGGCTAATCATCTTCCTACTGGCTTTTATACCATCTACCTAACATGTTTATCTGTTGTAAACAATGTTTCTGTAGCTGCCAGGAAAACAAATACATTCAAATGAGGAGCTGGTCCCCACACCTGTATACCACAATGAGTAATACCATTTAGAATTAGCTCCCTGTCTTTACTTGAGCTTGATGCTTCTCTGTTGTTGTTTATATCAGAGCAGTGCTTTCTCTCTGATTTAATTTGCTTTTTTTGTCTCATTTTCTCTCAGTGTTTTACTTTGTTCTTTTTCTATTTCACTTCATCTGTAGCAACTGACAGCCATCAGGAATGAGGCACTTGACATTCAGTTAAAGGTATTTGTGGAGCACAAAGAAGAGGACATGATAGAGTTCTCCCATAGGCTGGAAGACATCAAGAGCGAGTTGGAATATCCTTGTCATTATAACAAACAGAAGCATGTATGTGTATGTAACTCCTTGTAAATGTGGCTAATATGCATCCTGGTGAGATAATAGATAACAAAAGTTTGAATTTAAAATAAAATACATGATTCTTTAATTTCTTTTTCATTTCAAAAGCTTCTACTTTTTTATGTGAAAATGCCACTGTAACTACATTCATAATGTTTCTGCACTCATTTCCATTCAGGTTTTTCCTTTAGTTTGTCACACCTCTGTATGTTTCCATTTACGTACGAGTCCTTGACTATTTGCACTGATGCGGGGGATGTATTCAGTATTGTGCACAGCATGGTGAAGGACAGCAGTGCAGAGCCCTATTTCCTCTCTATACTGCAGCACCTGATGCTCATACGCAATGACTACTTGGTCAGGTAAAAACAGCACACCCCACAGTATACTTAAGTAAGCAGCATGTCCGTCCCTCATTTATTCTGCATGTATGTCTGTGACTTGGTCTGTTTGACAATAATGATGGCCGACATAGCATTTAAGAATCACATCCGAGGCTAGTGCACACACGAACAAAGGTCTTAGCACCTTTTGAGCACTGGCTATGATGTACACTGGTGAAGAGCTTATGTTTTGTGGAGGTCTTACTCTTTCTGCCTTAAACCATCTCAATGACATTGGCTAACAAAGAGAATGCTGTCTCTTTCATCTTCAAGCCATCTACAACAACCATTGCTCCAGAGTATTTCTCATCTCCCATTAATGGTACTTTTCAAAGGCTTATTTTATGTTGGTTCACTCACAGCTGGGTGTGAGTTAAACCTTGGCTTGATCAAAAGATGGAGCTCTAATCTGAAGAATATCAATGCATCACCTGCAGTTTTTCTTCCACCCAAAAACAACACCTGATGTGTCTCTCTCTGTGCTGTGGCACTGTGTGATTAATTTTCTGCATCTGAACGGAATATGGAATGTTGACATTACCGTTATTACGACTACCAGCAGTGGTGCCATCTATTTTTAAAGTGAAAGTGGTGTCTTTTTTGCCTTTAGCTAAACAGGGTTATGTTAGAGTGACATCTCTATCATATTTATAATAAAATGACTAACTGTTAGTTAGTCTACACTGCGATAAATGTTGTCTGGGACATGCATCTTTAGCCTCAGTCTTTTAGCATACGCATTTAGCAAAGAAAGGAGAGCTTGATGGGCATAACTAAATAACTAAGGGGGTCAGTGATCAGTTAACAGAAAATAATAGCCAACAAATTTGATAATTGAATAATGGTTTAGGTCATTTATCAGGAAAAATACTAGACATTTTTGGTTCTAAGTTGTCAAACGTGAGGATAACCTGCTCTCTGCTGTTTTTCTTTTCTTAATTACTGTAATTTGGAGGTCTTTCGGTTTTGGTCATTCTCACATGGCCTAAGCAAATATAAACATAATCACGTGATTAATAATTGGAAAGATTGTTACAACCACCATGCCAGTAAGATTTATTTTGGTCTTTTGGGCTGAAGTTGCCAGTAGCTTTTACTTCTCGAGTGCAGAGAGATGGATACATTGAAACACTTGTGTATGCATTCAGTGTATTTTGCATTTGGGGCTGAGGGTGGTAATAACTTTTGTTTTTCAGTTTTAGTCTCAGTTTTAACTTTTTCTTCATAAGTGTGTGAGGACTGTCATCCTAAGGGCAAATCACTAGAATACACTCCTGTCCACATTATATAATCTTATGTCATTTGATCATTATAAGTCCTGTATGTGATGATCATATCATATGGTGGAACGCTTTAGACTGTTTTCAGTTGACTCTTTGTATTTTTTAGAATACATTTGTGGAACTGCCTGAATTTCCCTCAGGCAGTTCTTTACTATTGATATATTGGCACATGAGGCATCATATCTGAATGTGATCCCATTCATGTACTGTATCTCTTGTGACTGACTGGAGTAGTGATCTTTAGTTATTTAATTCTTGGTTATCCTTGATGTCAAGAATATATAGTCCACTTTTACACAAGGGTCCCAAAGTCAATGACAGAAGCAGCAGCAGCTTGTCAGGCTAGTGCCTGAGAACATGTCTTATTCCATTCAATATGTTAATATTTTTTTTCTTCATTTAGACATCATGCTGCTCATCTTCAAAATTGCAGATATAGCATTCATAAGATGAGATCCAGTCTCAGTATTGTTTTACGAAGAAGGAAGGTAGTGCCCCTGATTAATCACTGTTTATAAGTCTCAAAGTATTAGGTAATGATTTGGTGTCTGTTGAACTCTGTTGTAAGATAATGAGCAGATCAAACAGACATTTTCCCTTTAACTTGCAATAGCAACCCGGCTCCCAGCCTCGCATTTTGTCTGCTGTTGTATCATTATAACTCCTTTTCCTTATTGTGGCATGTCCTTGGTTATTGTGTGATCAGTGCATTCAGCACAGTCACTTCAAACAATTTACCTGCAATTACTCAGCAACTGCTAACAGGTTGCTGTGTATTCCCCATTGTTCAGTATCATGCTTATATTAAGGTGCAAGTGGTGGTTAAATGGGTGTTTTATTAGTGGTGAAGAAACTAAAACCCTTAACCTGTGCAACATTAGCCTGCACCTCATGTGGGTCATATTATAGTTACAGTTGCCTTTTTTATTTATCATCAGCAAAAGTTTACGTCCTGAAAAAAGTGTGTCCTTATCAATACGTGAACAATCAATCATGTGCATATAAAATGTATTGATATGCTGTTCATCTGTTGTGTGAACTTCAGGCTTTGATTTGTCTCACTAATACATCATGATGATCAGTATCCCCGACCTGAAGGCTCTGATATCTGTTATACAATGATTTTGATTGGTTGCACAGGCATAGCTGTAGAAGTTGTTGAGATATGCCACATTTCCTTTCTATCTTCTTCCTGGCCCTGCTTTTCCTGTAGATAGTTTAGTTGCTCTTACACCTCACTCGGTCCAGATCACTGCTCTTGTACAAATGCTCGCACACAACAGATTGAAAACATGAAATAGAATCAAACAAAATGATCTATGTTTTTGCAACTCTTTCTTGTTCTCACTGTCTCCCTTGAATGTTCTTATCCCGCTCAGGCCCCAATACTTTAAGATCATTGAGGACTGTGTCTCTCAGATTGTGCTGCATCGTAGTGGCACTGATCCAGACTTCAGTTACCGCAAGCGCCTAGATGTGGACTTCAGCCACCTCTTGGGCAAGTCACGTCCTTCTGTCAGTTTATTGAGATTACAGATATTTCAATGAACCATAAATGATTTTCATTCTTCCTTTTGTTTTCAGAGGTGTGTGTGGATAAAGCTCGAATTGATGAGTATGAACAAAGAGCTTCAGAACTGGCACAGAAGGCAAGTATTGACCAAAGAAAAAGCAAACAACTTAGATTTTCATCCCACTACACATCCACCTGGCAAAAACAAAACCCATTAAGGCATGCTGGCATGCAATCTAATTTGTTCTATAAAATAACATCTGTTTAGATAATAAAACATTAACATTATAGAGCAAACATTACACTGACAGTTGTTGGGGGCTTAAATTATTGAAGTGATATAGCAATAATATAGAAAATGACATGGATTTAAAATGTTCTCTGATTCTTTTCCAGAAACAGAAAAATAAGTATTTTAAAAGTGAGCATTACAAAATATTACATCTGGTTATAAAATAATAATCAGAGAAATTACCTTAAAACGCTCAAATCCCAAGAAAATGAAACATATTGAATGAATGTTTTTGTAAGGCATTTGTGGGTAAAGCATTTTTATTGTCAATAACAATTGCACATATGCCTGGGATTTTTCAGTATGAGAACAGTGATATAGTAAAACTTGTTTTTCTGGTATCTTTGTAGATAAATGATACATATGTGCTAAAGCTTGAGCTATTATATTTAGGTCTATTATTTCAATTTTCATAGCACATTCCAAAAAAGAAATAGGAGTTTGCAAACGTATTGTATTAAAATAAGCTTTAGTGCAATTTTTCATCTTTGTCATTGTAACACACACAAACACACACATGCTTGTCGAAATGTCGAGGTCAAATGGATTGGCTGCTGTGATTAATTGAAGTGGGGGCAGCAACAGCAGTTTGTAGATCCTGATTACAAGCATGGTCTCACTGATTGGCATGTGTACAAGGTTTGTATTAATGGATGAGTGTTTGACAGAAGGTTGAAATTCAATCAGTAAATGAAGATAATTAAGGTACAATGAATGAAATTATTTAAAATAATTATACCATTAGACTTGAATAATTCAATTAAAGAATGTTTATTTTAATTTCTAGGAACAGTGTCAGTGTTTGTGTGTTTCCCTTTACAGTTTGATGAGGAGTTTGTAAGCAGACAGGATGCACAAGTACAGCAGGTTAAGTGTGAAGAAAAAATAGCTGAACTCCAAGCAGAGCTGCAGGCCTTCAGGTCCCAGGTACGTGACTTGTATGTCTTTGTTTTCAATTTAATTGCTTGTAAATTGTATTAATTCTTTAGGGGATAGGAGATGTGATAAAATACTAAGTTTGATTACTCAACAACTCCCTCTAAATCTACTATAAAAGTGCAATTCAACTTTCTTTTCTTACTTTCCATGATGAGATGTTATTTTGGGGTGTAGGATGTGGCTGGGGTTGGGAGTGGGGGTTTTATCCACTGGAGCTTGCAGTTTGGTTTGACATGGAGGCTGCTCTACTGGCTAGCTGACACTAAGTCTAATGAGAACACTCACCAGTCCTCCATGTTGGCCATTTCTAATTCTCTGATCTCTATCCCATAAGAGGAAATTGTTCTAAAAGCAATTTATTCTGACAACCCCCTTCAGTCTCACTACTGGGCCTCTCTTCAACCCCCCCATACTCTAGAGAGTTGCTCCCACGCCCTGGCACAGCAAGATAACTACACACTCAGAGAGGGGAACAGAACTTCCTTTTTATTTTCCTGATAATTTTTCAATTTGAGAGAGCAAACACAGAATGAATACTCAAATAGTACCTTGGTTCAAATGATGGTGGTACATTTAACCAATGCGAGTACATACACACACTTTGTGCTGCTGTCTTTGCCTGTCTGAGTCTGTGTCAGTCTAACTCTCGCCAACACACACGCACACACACTTGTTAATTCAGCAAAGATGTTCTTTCCCTCTAGAGGCAGTGGCAGAGTAAGGGCCCAGGGCTGACCTTTAGTGTGCGTCTTTAATCTAAAACTGGTACATGGATCAATAAGCCATTTGCTCTGTATGATACAATTTACGGAGCTTTGTAGGCCCGGTTATAACATTTGATTTTTAGCTTTGGAAAAAACAAATCATTGTGGGTATGGTCTGGACAGAATCTGGACTTTTTATGAGCATTTGGCCTCTGCTGGATGGTTGAGAGAACACGCCTCCGTTATCCGTAGCCCAGTGGTATTAGACAGGAAAGCATACTGTGCCATACACTTGGCAGATGCTGTAGTTCGTCTTCCATTTTTTTCCTCCCCAGATTCAATCATTTTTCTTTTTTTTCCCTTGTAATATGAATTCACAGTTTATGTTATTTATCCGGGGAAAGGGTTTCATCAGCATTGCTCCACAGTGTAAAAATGCTACTACCTGAAACAAACTGAATATTCTATAATTAAGTAATATTCACTAGAATCCAACAAAAAAAAATGCTGATGAACCAAACAAAAAGCACTAACCAAGTCTATAATATTTGTTGAAACTAGAATAAAATGACAGCCAATGTAGAACAGTACCTGACCTGATGAACAAGAAGTTAAAAAAAAAAAAAAACTATTTAAACCAGTTTAGCTTCATAAACACTGTCACAAGGCAATTTAGGGTAAAGCTTTTTTGAACTATATTAATTGTTGTTTAATTTAAAAATCCAATTAAAATTAGAAATTTGGCTCATGTTACTGCCTAAAGAGACTTGACGGAGTTTATACTGCAGTGACAAGAATATTAGATCTTGGCTGTGTTAGACAATCCTGCATACTAACACGAACTCCAGCTAGAAATTAAGTAAAAGTTAAATGTCATGTCTATGGCATGGAATACAGTAAATTTGTCTTTTGCTAAACAGATGATATTTTTTAGTATGAAAAACTGGGATTTGGTGGCGATAGTAATAATTAAAAAAAAAAAGAAAGAAAGAAAGTCAGCCTTGTCTTTTAGTGCCACGTTTCAGGGCAACTCAGTGTTGTTAATTCATTCTGGGCGTTTAATTGGCAATGTTACTGTTACAAGACAATTTGTTTAATCTTAGGCTACCATTTGCAGTTTTGATGCACCAATTGGTTAGAGTCCAGAGAGCAAACCTCAACTGTCACACTTTGCATAAAATGAACATTTGTCCCTACGTATACTTCTTCTTCTCCCTGCTCTCCAGTTTGGAGCTGTACCTGCGAGTCTGTCCTCTGCCCATGTTCGACAGACGCCACCCCCAGCTCCAGCTGGGTTGCCGGCTCCCCCTCCTCCACCACCACCACCTCCCTTACCTGGCTGCCCTGCCCCGCCTCCTCCACCTGGAGTGCCTCCTCCATTTGGTGCCCCTCCACCACCACCTCTAGGGTTTGGGGGTGCTCTAGGCTCCCCCACCCACCATGTGCTGCCTTATGGCCTCAGGCCTAAGAAAGAGTTCAAGCTTGAGACCTCCATGAAGCGCCTCAACTGGTCCAAGGTAAGACACTGTAAGGTGTTTCTAATATTTAACCACCTCCATTTTCCTACATGAGGGTGACAATAAATCTAATATCCCGCTAACTAATGTGCCAAAAAAATTACAATGGACTTGACTGTCAAAGTGAACAAAAATTTTATTCTAAAAGTTTCACAAATTGTGTGTATCGTCTAATTGATAGCCAATAGAATTACAGATCTCTAGAGAGGTGTTAGAGAGGTGGTGTGTTATCTTTAACAAAAAGTTTGGAACAAGAAGAATATTTAGAGAAGACATTTAAAGTGGCCTTTTTCTCTGCTCTCAACTTTGTTCTTGATGTTCATTGGCAGCGCCTGAACATTACAGATGTTTTTCCAAGAATTAAACAACAACTTCCTACCTCCATGCCAAGCCAGTAATAACTGAAAATAACAGATGATCAGATGCTATTGTCAGAGCAGCCTCAGTGGTCCCTCTGCAGATGTTGTTCTCCGCAGAGGATTATTAGTTCACACACCAAGTGATATCAGTTTGTGGTATGATTAATAATTTAATAACAGATGTACATTGGTACAGGTGTTCAGCAAACTAAAACATATGCTTGAACATGAACCTTTTAGTAGGACATGAGGAGGACCTGTCTTATGGCACAGCTGTATGAGACCCGCACATATGGTTATGTTCAGGACAAAGCTGTTCTGAAACTTCTTCAGTAGTAAGATTTCAGACTTACAACAACTGCAAGAGTGGCTCAGCTAGTTTTAGAGAGTAGTTGATAAACATTCTAATAATTAGCTCAGTGATTAAAACATTTTTTTACAGACAGAAAGACCCCCAAACAACCTAGCAGTAGCAAAGTCTTGACATGATATTGTTATAACTACTGTGTTAGCAAGCAGTTACATATTTAACGGATATAGGGCCACTTGAACATACTGTACTGTGTGTTAATGTGTAAAATTAATTACAAATTAAGCAAGGCAAATTAATCTTCATTCGTTATCTGTTCTTCTGCCTTCCTTTTGAATTTTTTTCTACATTTTGTGGTTGACCATTTTGACTGAATATGTCTTGTTGTAGTTACTGTGCAACAAGTTAACAAGAATATAATTCCAAGTGTTCACTTTAATTGGCACATTAACATTTGTGACATATTGTATATTTACTTTAGGAACTGACAGGACTATCTTGCAGCAAGTCCATGATTTAGTCTTTTGTAGCTTTTTTTTTTTGGTAGCATTTTCTATATATATATATATATATATATATGTGTGTGTGTGTGTGTGTATATACATACATTTCCCTCTGTAGCTTGTGTGATTGGTAAAATACACAACCTTGTGTAAACTAAATGTGCTGAATTGTGAATGTGGGTTTTCAGATCCGTCCCCAGGAAATGTCAGAGAGCTGCTTCTGGGTGTTGGCTGATGAGGACCGATATGCAAAGCCAGACTTACTGAGCAGAGTCGCTCTCACTTTTGGTTCACAAAGAACAGGTCAGGCTCTCACTACATTTTTATATCCTTACTTATTTAACATCCATCTTACTGACTGCTGCAGTTGTATGGTGAGACAGCTTTGTTGTCATTAACTGGCAGGTGTTTTCACACAACCAAGCATTTGTACTTAATATATTATTTAACTTGTGACTTACATAATCAATTTTTCTTTGTTTTATTGAACTTTAGTTTTACAGAGAACTTCCTTCAGGACTTGTCCAATCACATATATTCCTGTATAGATTATTCTGCACACACAGTATATTTCTACTCTGCACCAACTCTTGCCACTTCGCTTTACTTTCTCTCCTGTCTAATTCTCGCAGCTTTCTGGCTCATGAGGGACTTTGGCTGAACATTTCAATGTGGTCAATGTCGGTGTTATTTTATTTTTTTTTTACTGGTATTTTAAACTACATGCTAGAAAGAACAACTCATGATCAATCCTTTAAAAATGTAGTCAGTCAATCATGAGAAATATGGACATAATTTTTTTCTACCGTATGAATTGAGTCGAAATACAGGTATATGGAGAAATGATGAAAAGTAATGTTGGAATAATGTTCAACTCTATCTCACTGTCTCGTATCTCATGCCTTTCCCCTTTTTCGCAGTTTTAGTACAGTCTCTAACAGATAACTTAGTAGTCAGCAGTCCTTGCTGAATCTGAGTCCCCAAGGTTGTCATGCTATTATAGATTTTGGTGGGCTATTTGCACTATTCCTGGTGGTAATGCTGCATGATGAGACACCATACGGTTCCATCCTCACGCATTAGTATGGTTGGTAAGAGCTAGAATATTAATTTGTACAAGTTGTTGGAATGATTAAAGGTACAGCAGGAGGCAGCAAGAGATGTTATCAGTCTGGTCCTCTCCTGTGCTTGGTCTATTAGTCCCTTCTCTGATGATTTATTCACATCTTGTTTTTTCTTTCTTGCCTTGTCACTGACTCAGCTAGCTTACACCAATTTGAATTATTCATCCAGGTGTTATCTACCTGTCACAACTCTATGCTCTCATCCTCTCAAACCACACAGAAGCCCCCCCTACACACCAATGCACCCTTGTTCTCTACTGTCAAGGTGTTGAATAATGGAGGCAGATCTAAATGGCAAACAGGTAGACAGACAGTCAAGCAGGTGTTCTCTGGAGAGGGGCAAAGGAAGGATGTCCACCAACACACAATTGTATTCTGTTCGGGTAACGACCCAGAGCTTCCACACGTTCGCACACTGCATCTTATTTTACAGTAATCATGAAACACACTTCTCATCATATGAGGAGGCATGCAAAAGCGCTCCTGCTCTGCAGTATGCTGTCTGCCGGGTTGTTACTGCTCATATGTAATGCATTTTAGATTTGGCGAGAAACGCATGAAAGATTTGACTAAAATCAAGCCTTTCACATTGTTTGAATCCATTCTCTCAGTTGTTTTCCTCGCTGTTTCTTCCCATCCCAGTGGAGGTTGTAGGAACAGCATGACTGGTGGGTTGAGCTGTTAGACCTAGTTGCGACTACTGCTGTGTGTCAGTGAATGTACGTGTATGCGTATGTGCATGTGGGTTTGTCTTCTTATTAACACAGCCATGTAGCATCATGTTTCATCTCACTTAAGAGCAGCAGCATCTGGATCGGCATTAAACATTAAAAAGGACACAGTATGAAACAGTATTCACTCAGTTTTTCTCATTAAATATTAATTTTTATCCCTTCAAACTTCCTCATTGTTTTGTGATGTGTGTGCAGTAGTTTCTCAGTGAGTCCCTGACATCCTGTACACAAACTGCTGAGTAGGGATGGGGACTGGGAACAGTTTGTTTTGAGAACATCACTGTTTTGGCAGACCGCATGTTAATAATGTAAAAAAAAATATAGTGATTATTTTTTATTATTATTCACAGCATTAAGAGGAACTACACATTCAACCAGAATTTATATTACTGTATTTGTGAGAATGAAACACATATTTATTTTGACTAAGGAGACATTATATTCACAGTGGAAATATCTGTTATAGCTCCTTTGTTTATCTGTTCAGAGTGGTTTTTGGCAGGGGGTCAATGCCACTTGAAAACATCTCCTCAATGAGCAAATTGCGATAAATGGGTGATTTTACTTTTTAGCGAGCAGGTCAGAGCAAACAAAATTGAATAAGACCATACAGAATAATACGAGTTGATTTCTGTGCTCTTCTCTCAAGTCTCTGCTCATTAGCTGTAAACCTCTGTTACACATGTCCTGTCCTAAACAACATAAATGAATAGAAGCTTTCAATTAGGAATGAAACAGTGAGAAGACAACGTTCTGTAATGTTTATAAGGATTATGGTTTCAGTCTAATTGACCAATTGCAGAGTAGCATTAAGCACAGGTGATATGTTGGATGGTGTGTTGTTTGAGGCAGTAAGAAGAAGCAATCTAGAAAAGACTTCATAAATTCTGTTCACTTGTTTATGTTGATTTATCATGATGTGAAGCATTTCAGTTTTTGCCTTCCAATATTCACAGTATTCACACATTACCTCCACACAGGGTATCTTTTTTTTTGAAAAACTATTTTGCAAGGTACTTATTAGAGGCCGACCGATATGTAATGTAACGAAAGCAGGATATTTTACAGTTTGACAATAAATATAAAATATATCCGCTGATACCGATATATCTGTGATAGGCCAATATTGGCCGATAAAATCATCCGGCCAATAAATCGGTCGGGCTCCAGTACTTATTTACCTCATAAAACTTTCAAAAACTTTCGGGTTATAACTCAAGATCAGTTCCTTTTATTGACTCGGCCAAAATGACCCATCAGACAAAAAAAGTTTCTCTTCTTTATATTTGTCTTTAACTTTCCTATCTGTCCTCCTGTTTTTGGTTGTTTTTGACTTGAAAGTAATCGTGTTCCAAGTCCTCACAACGTATGTATCATCTTAATGCATACAGAGCAGTTGTATTTAAAATTTCCTAGTTCATCTTATATTAGATGTTTTTTTTCCTACTTAACACAACCCATAGCAGCGCCAGTGTATTCAGCACTTGAGAGTTAATGAGTCTTTGTATTTTTTCTTCAGGCTACGGAACTGTGGACTGATTTCTGTTAAGCAGCCAGGGTCAACTAAGACCTGTTCGCACCTGGCATTAATATGCGTATTGGGTGATCAATCCACAAGTGGACAACCACCACCAAGACGCATTGTGATTGGATCACTCAAACCACTTACCGTACCACATATCTTTTTTAGGGTTAGCGCTAATGCATCCTGATGTGTCCCAACAAGGATGTTACAGGAAAATATGTCATCAGTGCAGGATGTGGTGGTTGTTTTGATGACTGTGCGCCAACCCTTGAAAAAATGGAGAGGACCACTGATGTACGTGGTTGGAGTTCAAGTGAAACCAGATGCCAAATCTCTAGAGGACTGCCATCATCTACTGCCATGACTAAATCTGAATTTTGGTCAGCTGGACACTTTTGAGATGCATGATTGACACAGGTGTAAACAGCGAAGTGTGTCAGCTGTCCACTTATGTTTGGATCACCCAAGACGCATTTTAATACCAGGTGTAAACAGGGTCTCAACGTTCTCCAAAGCCATTTGCTCTTAACAAGAACAATCCTTCACAGGTTGTATACTTATCCCCTATTTCTCTTTGCAGCCCCACATATCGGCTCCTTTATGACCAAATGCGATAACTTCCGAGGTTGATTACACCTCAAATTATTCTAGTCACTGTATATTCTGTGTTTGGACTCATTAGTGATGTGCGTAGCTTCTTACGCCTCAACCTTACAGATAAATATCAAACGCCTCTACATCCTTTCAAGGAAACAGCCTAATTAGTCTAGAGGAGAATGTCAACTATGCTGAAATCTTGATGCCTCCAATAACTGTGTGCATTAGCCATGGCAGTGTTTTCATTACTTGCCAGATAGTAGACAAATAGATTGAATGTCATACAGTAAGTTGTTGATTTTAAAACATAGGGTTAGGGTTATGGTTGAATAATTAATATAATAAAAACAAACAAACAATGAAAACATGTTACATAATACACATAGTGTAAAACAGGAAACAAATATGACTTGGATGGTACAAACATGTTTTAAACGTAACCATGCTCTGTAAACATACTTGGCAAAATAGTCATTTAATGTGAAGTCTTAAAAAGAATATTACCGCAGATGCCTGCACATTTAGCATCTGGTTTGATGTTAACCATTAAAATTCCAATAATATTTCTCCAGGTTACTATGAAAGAATATTTTTATGCAGCTCACATTTTAGTTAGATTTCAATAAAAACTAATTAGACTCAGTTAGATGGATTGTTTTAGTGGCGAATGCTGTAGTTGCACTGTTGGATTTATTTTTTTGTGAACCTCTGCAAATGTTCAACTCTGTTTCCAAACTACCTGTAGAGTTGCCACTTAACTTAGAGACTGCACAGGTCACTAGGCTAAGACTGATGGGAGCACCCATAATTTTAGTTTATTGGGCAATTTAGTACACTTTGAAATATATCAATACACAATTATGCAGTGTCTAGTAGTGCTAGATATTACTGTATCTAGAGAAAAATTCAGGCTTACAGAGACTTTTCAAAACCGTTGCGAAGTCAAGATGTCACTTAATCAAGTGCCTTTTGCTCCCATACACGTCAAGCACTGATATACAAAGCTGCTTTAGTACATTTGCTGTAAGAAGAAACACTGCAGGAATGATGAATTTCTGAAGACTGATAGTAACCTGCCACAGTAAATCAATGGTGGTGGTCAGATAAGATTGAATGTTGCTGCAGGAAAATGTTGATTTCCCATTTCCTCACTCATTAGAAAGAAAGACTCTCTTCCTATGTTGTTAATTATGACACCCATCCTGTGTTTATACAGGTTGTCTCGGCTCTTCTCATTAACACCTGCATGCATATACACACAAACACATTTAACTTGGGGTCAGACAGACAGACAGACTTTAATCATTTATTCCAGAAAAACAC